ATTGAGACCGCTCTCTATCAAGTGCTACGGCCGGTATTCATAAGTCGGTTTTTATTTCAAGACCATCTTAAGTAATGTCTTAAGATGCTAATATGGCTCTGTTATTGGCTTGTAACATCTTAAAACTATACTTCAGACGATCTTATATCTAAATATAAGAATCGATTACGAATACCAGTCTATAACTTTGTTTTGCGAATCGGGCTAAATTCTTTTGCAGACATATTTTCCATATCAAATACTTGCAAAATATGTAAAAAAAATCGATTTTTCCGATCCGATAGACTAGAATACCCCCTTAAGAACACCGTAAAATTCGTTTCCAAATATATTTTTTTAATCATAATTTTGTCGTGTGTATTCTTTTTTACTGTCTGGTATATGATGCTAATTAATAAAATTTCGCGATCATACGCACAATCAGAGCGTTTTTAGAATATCGCTGTGCTGTCAGGGTATATATTATATTTTAATAGTGCCATAATATTGTATTGCAATTTCTAAAGGCAGACATTTTACCTGTTGCAATGTTGTAGCAACGTTGCAACATATTGCAACATTTCTGCAACATTGCAAAGATTGCTACAATACTGCTGCAATCTTTCTGTGCTGTATGAACAGCTTGAGACGCCATAGACGCTTTAGACTAAGAAAAAGTAATGGAAATATAAATTTCTTAAATTTTTTTCGTTCTCAGCATAATCTCTACCAGCCTGAGTTACATTGATGTCTATATTTTAATCGTAGAGGTTTATTAAATCTGTTTTTAATTATATTTCTTTTGCCTTGAAAAATAATCACGTTTGGTCGATAAAAAACGACTATAGGATCTTAAGTTTTAACTCTTGTACTAAACATGTATTTTTTTGCATCGATTTTGCAAATATTAAACATTTTAGCTTATTGATCCTTTACAGAAAAATCGCGATAAATTAATTTTAAAAAAATGAACGATTAATTTGATCTGCATATGCAATTTAAAAATTAATATACTTCTTATCATTTGTTCCAATTTAATCCTAGATATAAAACAAAAGAGTCCCCGGGACCCCAGCAAAACTTTCTTGGTTTGGCATTTCTAAAATTGGAAGGGGAGAAGTTTGGGATATTGACGTAAAAAAAGTTTGGGATCTCCTCAGTAGGAAGACGTGTTGACGCGCGGCAATTGTCGCTCAACAATCGAGCAGTGAACAGTTGAAGTGAGGGGTCCCCGGAACTGCTTGCAGTTTTGTTAAAAAATTAAAATATTGGATCGCCAAATTTTTTGTTACTATTTTAAGTATGCCCTTTCAGAATTTTCAAGAATTTTTCAAATCGTTCTATAAACAAAAGAGATGATTTTTTTGAAAAAAGGTGCTAAATCGAGATTTTTTCGCGTTTTTGAACTTTCCTTTTTCTTTGAACTCGTATATCTTGGAGCTTCTTAATTCTATCGACTTTTAAACATTATTAGTTTGTTCTTTGGTCGATTCTCTATCAATTGAAAAAAATTAATTAAAATATGTCAATTTTTACTAGAGTTACAGTTATAAATATGGATGGGATCCTCGGGATCCCAGTGTGTATACGTCGTCAAAAAAACAGTGTGTATACCTAGGATTAATTTAGATCAAATTCGAACTAACAATAAGTATTTATTCTAAGTACATAATGTATATGCAAAAATGTAAATAGAAATATATATGTATAAATAATTTTTAATTATACACTAATACATATTTCAAAGGATAAATAAAAAAAATCGAAAATATAAAAATATCATAGTTAGACTTTATATTCCTAACTTTAAAATATGTCATAGAAGTTCATTTAAATAAGTAACAAAGGCGTGACGAATACCTGTAGGTGGTAGAGTCGGATCGACGTTGTTCAATGATGAAGGCGATTGTGGCATTTGCTGACCATCAATTCCTCCGTATGGTGGTATCAGTACTGGCTCAATTTTACTGTAACCCCTTTCCAATAGCGGTTCCATTCTGTAAGCCACTGGGTCGGACCAGTGAAATATATTGTAGAACCTCTTACACAAACTTTGCGGCATCACATCTAATCTATTGGATGGAGCACGTGTGCGCAGCGCTAGAAATACAGACAACGGCGAACCCAAGCAAAACAAGTTTTCAATCTGTAAACGGAAAAACATTTTCGCTTGGTATAATTCTAATAGTTAGAAATAATATGTACCCAAGTATCTTTTGTAAACAGTTTAAAATGTACCACACACACTTAGCTGTATTCTATCTTTCATCGTATATTCATAGAGAATTGTAATTACTTACGGGAAATTGCAATCCTTGCAATAAAACTTCTTGCGTCTGTGGGCACGAAAGTCGCGTGTCAGGTCCTGTCCAACCTGTAACTATGTCATATAAAATCACACATCCTAGGGAGTGCGCCAAGATTGAAACCTTTCCTTGCCAATCGGGATGCCGACTCGCAAACATAAAATACAAACTATTTAGCTCCTTTTGCAAACCAGCTCGGACCTCAGCACCATACAGAGGACTTGTGTAATATAAAATGTCCATTGCTGATGTATTCAGCAAGTGGCGAATGCTCAATACACTGTAAGGCGTAATTGCGTCTACTATATCTGAAAGAAAGGATTACACATTCGGTAAAATTAAATAGATATTTGCAAAGTATTTGTATTTTACCTCCGTCTAACTTCAACGACGACCGCCATTCAACTGGAAAGAATTCTACTCTGTGTTTAGAATTTGGAAAATATTTCTGCTTAAGCCAGTCCACGCAATCTCTAAAACTGTTAATTTATTTGTATTTAAAATCAACATTTTATAAAACTATATATTGTACATGATATTCCGCAAAGAAACTGACAAACTTCTAAAATGTATTCTAGAGAGATCATTCTAAGTAAAAACGTTTAGATACATATTATTCGTTCAAAATGATAAACTTCTGCTTGCAAACATGTTGCATCACTATGTTGCATCACTAAGTTCAATGAAAATATTATCTGTGATCTCTATTATTTTGTCAACAATGACTCCTTTATCATCATTATATCAGATTTTAAACCCTACAAAAAGAAATCCAGAAGCAGTAAATTAAAAGATCGAACAAATCATCATATAGGACCTCCCCTTCCTATCCATTTATTTGGACATTTTGACCATATAATTAGAAAAATAATATTCACTTAATAAAATTATAAAACAAATTATAATTATATTTGTAAATAATAATAAATTATAAAATAATCAAATTTATTTAATAAAAGTTATAAAAATATCTCATATTTTTCGCCTGTTACAATATTAAAATTGTCTATCTCGATAATTAAATCAAATTGACCTATAATGTATCTAAAAGTTTTTTGCTTAGAATGACTTCTACAATACCTGGTTATATTATTAGACGCATACCATTTTTTTTACAATTTACTGACTTCTAAATATCAGATTTATATTATATATCTATTCTACTGTTATCCATTTATCGTTATTGTAATAGATTGAAATATGTAAAAAAACAATCTATAAATGGTCTGAAATGAATTTTATTTTATTACATCATTCACTTCATTCATGTATAATGTTCATGAAAAAGTATGTACCTAATACTTATAAAGGCAAAGCGTGTTTTCTGTTTCTATTACAAAGATTTTATTTGTTTATATGATAAACTTTAATTTAAACATTATATAATATTATTAGAATCAGATTCTAATAGCCAAATGATAACTTAACAAAATATTTAAATATGTATAAACATAACAAAATAACAAAGTATTTTAAAAACATCTTTTTATTTCACAAAAATAAATATTTAATGAATATATTACCAAAACTGTTCATATTAATTCAGAATGTCCAAACAAAAGAAAAAAATCAGTAGTCAGGATAAGAAACCGAAGACAAGCGAAATATAGATGTCAGTTAATATTTTAAATATAACTATGTGATTCCACATACCCTAGCTTCAATAAACTGCGAGCCATTACTATCGGATTCAATGCAGCATTTGATTGAAATAGAACCGTATCACGCTGTTAAATAATTTAATGAGTACTGATGCTTACTTGCATCTTTTAATAAATCTTCCCCCCCCCCTTTTTTGTTGCGACTCCAAATAAATGCTAACTTGCATTTATAGGCTCTACTCTGCCTGAATCTGTAAAGAATTTATTGCGAAAAAATATCACCTCATGTTCTCAGCCAGGAATCGAACCCGGATCTCCACGTTTGCCGGACGGGCATCTTACCTTTTATTAAAAGATGCAAGTAAACATCAGTACTCATTAAATTATTTAACAGCGTGATGATACGGTTCTGTTTCAATCAAATGCTGCGTTGAATCCAATAGTAACGACTCGCAGTTTATTGAAGCTAGAGTATGTGGAATCACATAGTTATATTTAAAATATTAACTGACACCTATATTTCGCTCGTCTTCGACCTTTTATCCTGACTATTGTTTACAACACGAGCTGGTAATTTAGTTATTTAAAAAAATCAGACTTTAGATGTGTAAAAATAATATTTATCAGTTTTATTCATTCATTCAAGGTGAATCTATCAACAAATTCATGCATGTAGTAATATAACCAGAAACTGAGAACATATTCTAGAAAGATATCGATTTTCTCGCGCAACATTCTATATATATATAGCACAAAAATTATTATCTTTATACCATGTAGTGTTACGTATAATTTTTCCTGTGTCTCGCTTTTGTCCTATTCCATGAACAACAAATACTAAATGATCGATATCACGTGGCTTATCCTCCATATTCGTACGCGTTTTATAGCCTCTTTTCAATCGATAGCCTGTTGCTGTCAAATTTAAAATTGAAAAAAAAAGTATCAATAAGATGTAATGATACGTAAAGATACACGCGAATGGCGTTTTAATATTTTTATTATCACTAATTCTGAACTTACTTTTCGCAAAACCCAATTTTGATGTAACGCTACGCATCAATTTAGTAGGTGTATATTCACTATATTGTGTCACATCGTTAACCGAATGCCAGTCAACATGAAATTCGGGGAATTGCTCGGTATGTAACACTGAAAGTGCAATAAGAAGTTTTAATATTAAATCCACACATATGTATATACGTACAAATTTAAGAAAGTATGGAGACAAAGGATACCTTTATAAGATTGAGGAGCATTTGTATCAGACGTAGTGACACTTTGATTGTTGCTTTCTTTTTGAAATAATTTAAGATGTACCTCTTCTATTACTTTGGAATGTTCTATTTCTAACGGTATCCAGCTGCCATCATAATACCATGTACCCCTCATAATTTCCCATTCCTCACCTTGAACAAACATTTACATAAGTCATTATATTTGTACAAACTAATAATTTGTGTGTTATGCATATTTCACATGTGATCAAAGTAAACAAATTCTATATAAACCTGAATACTCAACTTTGAACCTTAACTTTGAAAAAAGTGAGATTTCAAATTATTATTATAGCATTCTAATACTCCTAACTAAAAAAAATTTCTTTTACTCAAACTTTTGATTGACAGTGTATTTTGTACAAATGCAAGTTTTTTATTAAATTACTAATAATGGGCTCCATTATTAATAATTTATTAATAATAATATAATGGGGACCCCATTATTTTATTGGATTAAAAGAAAAGTTATGTCGTATTTTCTCAAATAAACGGTTGTACTGTATTTAATTATTATTATTAATTATTATTATTAATTATTATTATTAATTAATTATTATTAATTAAGTATTAAAAAGAAATTTTAATCTAAATGTCATAAATGCATTTTATTGTGACAGAAACCTTTGAGTGTATTTCTTATTACGAGATACACTGCCGGCCAAAAGTTTGAGACTACTAATTGAAAATGTTCCACGGTATAAAATAAAATCAAAATCCTGGTCCAATTTGAGCCTCTAACAAATCATGATCGATAGATCAAAGAATGAGATAGACTATTAAAAATATGATCCATTGTTTAAAAAAAGACCGCCAAAATTGCTTAAGAAGACAATCAACAAATACCGAATATGTTAAATACAGTTTGATATTTGTATCATTTTTATCATAATTATTTTTATTTTACTTCAGCAATTACAACAAAAATATATCAATTCAGTATTCGAAATCAATCATATATCGCATCAACGTCGATTCAATTAATCATTTCTGGCTAGATATGCTATCCGTTTGGAACAAAAAATGTTATTAAATACATTTTTCCAATGTTTGAAGAACAGTATTTCTAAACAATGATGACTTATAATTAAAGGATTGTATCTATAAAACATTTTGATCCTAACTATTAAAATTAAGTTTTGTTGCTAATCGCAAGGAGACCAAAATCCATAAAAATGGGCAAGAATCTTTACGCATTATAATTCAACATATTTTTATATTAGTTTACTCTACTACGTTGTTATACAATAAAATAAAAAAATGGCTAAAAGTTCTATAAAAAATATTTTTTACGAAATTTCTTACAAAAAAGTACTAAAAAATATTAGACACTTTTTTCGTCAAAGTAACATCTCACAAACGTTTATAATAATTTTTTTATTATTATAATTATCTAAAAATAATTTAATTACGAGTATAATTTTTTCTACGAAACATCTTTTCTTAAAAAATTTATAGCTTAGTTTTGGAAAAGAAGCTTTACGAATCAATTTTCTTGAAATTAAACGATGCGTTGCTATTAACAATGTTAATCATTATGCCAAATACAATTCCTATTAACTTTCAAATTAAGAAAAAATGTCAAAGTACACGAATCAAACTTTTAAATAGCGTTTCATCGAAATTCTTAAGTTTTATGTGATCTCTTTTAACCGGCAGTGTATATAAATATTTTTTGCTGTATATAAAATATATATATATATACATATTTATTTATTTATTTATTTTGCTGGGTGATCTGAATAAACTCTTTACTACAACGATAGAATCTATTGCCGTTATATTTATTTCGCACATGTTGCAAGTCATAATAGGCATAGTCAATACGAATTGGCTATAATAACTTCAAGGACGAAGTAATCTGTGCAGTATAAAGGCATGCATTGCACGCACAAACGGGAAACTATACAGAAATCTAAACAGGCATTAAATCATTATTAAGGCATTCACGGATATTCGTACCAACTGTTGATTGACCACTGTTATTGGCATTGACTTCGGCAACAGGCCGAAGGCAATTGATAAATATGTTAACGGTGTAAAGAATAAAAAAATAAAGAATAATGCGAGTAAAAAGGAAAGTAAAAATATGTGATATTCACCTGGCCAGTATATCGAAACGCATTTCATATTATCAATATCAACATCGTACATTCCACCTCTAACTACAATTTTCTCAGCAGGTGACAAACCGTTTGTTCCATCGTTATTCTCATTAATTAAACTCTGACGCTCCCGATAAATTCTCTCGATTCTTAAGCTGTCGTATCCACAAAACTCGTTCCACCTTTTGTCAACGCCGTCTTTGTAAAACCACCGTATTTCCTCTGGGGTCAAAGGTTCTGCATAAGTTGCTTCACTCACAGCATTAGTTTCTACATTGTCCTTTGGACTTTCTTCCACTATCACTTGACTATCACCTTTGTGAAAGAACAAAAATTAAATCATTATACACCTCATATCCTTCTACTAATAAGCAATAATATTATCAAATGATAATTTTACACTCTGACTGTTATCGTACATGGATTTTTATACAAGGAGAAAAACATAAATAAATTAAACATTAAGACCAGAATTACTTTAATTTATACCATTTGAATCATTAACATGCTTCAAAAAAAAGTTCTCATAAAAAAATAAAAAATATTTTATCTTTAAATACAAATAAATATCTAGTAAATCTACAGTATTTATTCAGATTTTTGTAGAGTATTATTTGGGAAAGATATGTGCTGTAGTAATAAATCAAAGGTAAAGTCGGATCTATCAAAAAAACACATGAATAAATTAAGCTTAAAATCCAACAAAAAGAATTTGCCTCGCATGCTCACTCAACTGTGTAGCGTTGAGCGTTTAAGTCTATTCTACAATACTCGTAAAAATTAACGAATCGTCGAATGTAAGGAAATTAATCGATTATGACACATCAATTTTTACGGCTTACGAATATTGTGGAATAGGTTTACGAGCTCGAGCTTCCAACAATCTCTCAAATCACAACGGCGTCTACTCGCGATAAGCGACAGTCGCCGGTGTGCAGTCGAACAATAGCGCCTGATCGCCGCGTGATAACATTCTTCAACTGTGGAAAATCACCGAATCTGTCACGTGCGCGTCTTTCCGTACCTTCGCAGGACTCTTGCTCCATAGGCATCTCCATCGGCATCTCGCTGAACGGATCGACCTCGCACAGATTAATGGACATCCCGTCGAGCTGTCAGGCGAGAGTAGCTGTCGGAACTCGAGCACGCTCGAGCTTCGTGAGTTCAATAGACAGCAGCGCGATAAGTTGTCGCGCGTGGGCGACCACACGATCACGAGAACAGACACGACTCTTATCGCGGACCTGTCACCCTTGCGTCATATCGCGGTGACGAACCGGCGGGGATGAACTTTGCACGAGCGCGAATGAAAACGCGAGACATGCCGAACGTAAAGAGAAAAAGCGAGAGAACACGGCGAGAATTCGAAGAATAACTTCGACGATCCTCGCTTCTTCCGTGAATTACAGCCTGTAACGTCGCCGATGATCGTCCTTGGACGCGAATTGTGCTCGCGACAGTCGCTGATCGAGAGCCGCGTTATCTCGGGCTCTTCTGAATGGGACCGACAACCGCGTGCGCGCGCGTGTGTACAGTGTGTTATTCGGGGAACGGTGAAGAATGTTATGCCGCGACGCTACGCAATGCAACGTGAACGTGACTCGACGAAGACCGAAGACACGGTATCCTCTCCGACCGTCGCGTATAATCGCGTACCTCACATCGCGCGTCGCATCCGTTCGCGCGTCTTATATAATGCGACTTTTCGACTGGATCACCTCGCCTGACGGCACCCACGAGTCCCACGACCGGACGGTGGGTGATGCTCAACCGCGACCAGCTGATGCAGTGCGTGGCGTCGCCGCACTCGCCTGAACTGAAGCGGCATGCATGCATGCATGCATATGCAACGCGGCGTGCGCGAATGACGCGCGCCGCGCGGTGACGCACAGTGACGTATCCATGCGGAGCCGCACACGCGTGTCGGCAAAATGATAGGAACGGAAGAGGGAATGCAGGGAAGTCCGAAGTAGACGAGTAGTTTGAATGACGATGTTTTTCTCTCGCACAATTCTTATTTCTTAAGACTGAAGTAACTGAAACTGACTGTCATCTTCGTGTTTCATTCATCCAATTTGCAATTCACAAATAACTTGTGGCGAATTTACAGTACGTTATCCGCATGCCATTCCGGTATTTTTCGTGTTTGAAAAAAAAACACTTATATAATACCATATATTATAATGGCATGTCTCGATAAATTTGGCTGTTTAATATGCCGCGAATTGAAAAATATTGAAAAATGCTGATTATAATTCGATTTCATTACATATTTATTTTATATATAAAATATATTTTAATAAAAAGATATAAAATATATTTATATATAAAATATATTTTAATAAAAAGAAATTTTTTAAATAAATAATTATATATGTGTATACACATAATACATTTCTTATTTTGAATGAAAATATTGCAATTATAAGAAAATTTTATTAAAATAATCGTTTTACAAAAATATTTTTATAAATGAAACAGCTTGCATTTTATTTTCGCACACAAACAGCGGTTTTTAATTCTCTATAACGCCTCTATAAAGTAATTTTAAAATTACATATTTTAATATCTACATTTTTTAAGTCATACTTTATTATATTTTTTGATCATAACTGAGTATATAGTCTTTTTGTCATAACCGAGTATAATATTTTACTATTTTCAGATTACTGCCAACACAATTAAAATATTTAGAAATAAAAAGTAAAATTCTAAAATTTTTATTTTTTATTTTATTGTTTTAAGTATTTTTACTAAAATGTGGATATAATTTTGAAAATGAGAATACTTAAATACAATATAATTTAAGTATTTAGTTTTTAAAATATTTTTGACATTGCATCCCACTTTCTTTTTACTTATTTATAATTTTTTTTGCTTCTCTTTCCTTTTCTAAAATTTTCACGACACATTGCTACGACACACCGGTTGAAAAACCTTAATTTATAATGTTTATATCTATATAATTTACATAAAATTCAATTAAGTAAATTATTTAATTTTATTATATATTTAATATTGTTTATATAAATTTGATTTTTATTACTTTATATTTACTTTATATTTGTATATTTGAGTACTTTATAATTAACCCTTTGAAGCACGGTGGTCCCTACAGGGACCACCTTTTTTACCCGCTAATTTTATTTATAAAAATTCAATGTGAATCACAGGTGAATGTATGTGAAGTGAGCGCGAAGAGCCGCACATACGGCACGCTACGCTCCTGTGTATTCCGGCTAAACGCGATCTAATTGATTAACTTTATACGTTAATAACTCTGTAAATAATGGTCTGAGCCAAAATTGAAAGAGGAACTTTTAGTTCAAAATTTCATTCTCTAGATCGGAAGAGCACACGTCTGAACTCC